GCACAAAGACTGCCATCAAAACTGTTAGCGGAAGTAGATTGTCGAACTCGGTCAGCAAGCCTTTTGAAGTTTATTCACTAGACGGAAGCGAATGCATACTTATAGATCGAGCAGTTGTGGCAAGAGATCTCCCAGTGCGGAGATCTAAAAGGCCGATACGAGAAAGTACGAGAAAGGTACGAGAAAGCGATGCCGAAGTAAACAGATTAGAGGGACCGGGTTCTGGAGAACCATCGTGGGCTTCAGGCATCTGGGCGTAAGGACTTGACTCCCTTCGATCAAATCAAAAACGAGAAGCAGAAGAAGAACTAAAGTCCAGGTTAGAAGAAGGCGAACGATATCTAAAGGCTACGGGGCTTTCTTGTGGTAGGATTTCGGCAACGAATGATGCCGAAACCTCTATAGACGCGACGGAAGCTCACCCCAGTAGTTGTATCGTCGTGTACTCAAATGCACGTAGTCCCTTAAGCAGGTGGACGGAACCCAGTAGCGTAGTAGGCACAGAAGGTCCTGAAATCACTGCTATCTCAGAAACTTGGCCCTTTTCTTAGACCAGTGGCAGTGAAACTCATTTAATAAGATTCGTTCCTTTTAGAAGTGACAGTTTAGCGCGCAATGGTGGTGATTTTACCTTTTACGTTAAGAATCCCTTGACTATGGAAGCAACAGAAAGGGCTGCACAAGAAAGTGGGACGTGCGAGATGCTGTGCTGCCGGCAAGATGCTAACCTGATCGCAGTATAACGAAGACCCGAACGTGACGTAGCAGACGTTCTGCACAATAAGCTGACCCTCTGGACACATATATGCCCGTGCCTAGTTGTAGGAGACTTCAACGCACCATTAGTTTACTGGGATAGACTAACAACAGAAGAATCATGCAACCCTTTGATCACAGGTCGGTGGAAGTGTCAATTTCTTTGACCCTTATATGGTACATTAGGACAACAACCAGATTTGATCAACGGCATGCTCCATCAGTTCTAGACTTTGTATCGTCACACACAGATGATGTACGCTTCACCCGACAAATTTCATCCCTTGGCAAGGATGATCATTCCGTGATCATCTCCAGATTAACAAAAGCCGTCTTGTACTAAGCCGATGGACCAGCTAGACTCAGTGAATGGAAAGCGAATATAGCAGCTGCTAGTTTGGGGCCCCCTTGGAGAACTGCGCAGTCAATTCAGAAGCCTTAGTTGAGGTCGTATGGGGCTCCTTTAATCGGTTATGTGCACGTGTGACTCAGCCGTTCACTTCGCGGACTGTTCTGAGGGAGAGATAAACTACAAAATCCGAATCTTCCTACGACGCGAGAAAAAGTATTACAGTCTTGCCACTGACCTCGGCGCTCCTGAGGTGATAAATGACTGGAAAGATGTCTGAAGTAAACGTATCACTGCTATCCACCCGGCTTCAAACACGCTTTGAAACGTACCTCGCACAGGCTGCGTTGGAAAGATCCGGAGAGGTTATTTTCTTGAACGAACCATGGGGATAGGATGTGCCATGGCATAACAGCCCTGATCAGAGGGGCAGGAACCGATTGTTCGATTGAAGGCGACAAGGGAAAGGCAGAAGCCATGGCTGGATATTTTGTTGGGGCCTACTCACAGGAACATTCTGTGGACGCTTCTTCAAGAGTAGAAGCACTGACACCCAGCAGAATGAACTCTATGTATAGCGACGAAAATAGTGAATTTCGGACAATAATTACTCTCGATGCAGAAAAATTAACGGGAAAGGATGAGATGCACCCAAAGCTGCCCCGAGAGCTCACAATCTATGTGGCCATCTTGCTGACTACTGCATTCACAATGCCACTCAGTGATGACACACTACCCCATGACTGAAAGGATGCGATAGTCACAGGAATCTACAAGGCCGGTTCTAAGCAGCACTCATCGAATTGCAAACCAATAAGTTCGACCTGTACTGCAGTGAAAATCCTAAAAAGAATAATCAAAAGGACCATCATATTTCACTTAGAGGGCAGCACTTTGTTGTCTCATTGGCGGCCTAGTTTTCACGGAAATTTAGTTCGCTTGACGAACCTTCTCACAGCCAGTGGAAGTTGCGTTAAGTCTGAGGATGACAGGATATCTGTAGATGCCATTTTCATAGACTGTGTTATGGCACTCGACAAGATACCTTATTTCGGGTTGCTGGGGGAACTGGAACGTTTTGGAATCACAGGCGATCTGCTCGCATGGATAGGAGTCCCCTGTTGGTAAGAGATAAAGAGTAAGGATCGATTCTCATCTCTCCTCCTGAAAGCTGGTACAAAATGGTGTGCCGCAAGACACAGTCCTGGGGCCCCTGCTCTTTCTCCTATGCACAAATAGGCATCTGGCGGGAGATTAGCAATCACAAGGATATACGTGCTTTCCAGAAGGACCTGAACAGCTTGGTCACCTGATCAGAGCTGTGGCTGGTGCCTACCAGCTCAGGTTAGTGCGTGAGCACGCACAGGGGGCACACATATGGGAGAGTCTACAAAATTGGTGAGACTCTTCTACCGGCACTGCAAACCCCCTGTGACCTAGGAGTCAAAATGAGTTGTGATTTGAAAACCACGGCACACTGTCGATAGATAGTGGCCCGAAATTTTAGGACGCTTTGAGCAACGAGTAAAAACAAGCGGTGAAGTAATCGCCACCTTCCGCACGTCCTTATTTGAGTTCAAGCTAAACGACTTTGCACAAGCAACAACTCCTAATCTGAAAGGTGAATCAGACCTTCCGGAAAGATTTTCGAGGGTGGTCACTCGTACGATCCCTGTGATGCCTCGCCTGGTCTAAGAAGATCAACTTTAGGGGCCAAACCCCTTCTTTTTATCAGATCGCAGACGAAGGGGAGATGTAATCATGCTATACACCATCTTAAGAAATGACTATGAACCTGATCTATCTTTCCTTTTCCTTCCCAGTGGGTTACGACACCTCAGGGGAAATAGCGGTAGAATACGGAAGCAAAGAACGAACATAGTCGTCTCACATAGTCGTCGAGTAATCAACTCGAGCTGGACCTACTGCCGGGAGAAGCGGTACCCGTATCCTCAGTCGACTCCTTCAAAAGGTGGATTAGGTAGGCGCAGAAATCTACTAGAGAAGGGTTAATGTAGGCCGACAGCCTTCTATCCTCAAACAACAGATCCAAAATCTGAAATCTGAATCCTTATGGGCGATATATTCGTTTGTACCTAAGGGAGGATTCGCGAGTTGTATCCTTTTACTGTACAGCAATAAAGATAGTAGGCTATGAAAATCTATTTTCCTCTTGGAGGCATTGACAGAAGGGGCCGATGCTACCTGTTGAGGTAGGGAGTTCTAGCCTTTAACCTCACAACCAGGGAAACGCAGGTTCACGCCGGTTTGATTCAGTCGCGGATTTTGGATTTTATTGTGATACCCTCGGAGAAAGTCAGTCCTAGTAGGAAAGAAAAGATGGGTATCAGTTATTATTTAGGATACGGCATGCCAGTTTGAGGTCACGGTCTCATATGGTAAGACAGTGGGACTAAGTTTAGCCGATCTAGTCGTTTTACGTGTGGCACATTCGAAAGGTCTACCACAAACCTAGTTCCTACCCTCTGAACGCGCTGGAGTACACCAGCCCCCTTCTTAGGCATGGCTAGGCCTACTGAGCGCAGTGAGGTCTAACGAAAGTAGGGTAGGGTATACTGAACGTATCCTGATCAAACCCTCTGAAATCTGTACGGGTGGACCATAATACGCGAAAGCCCTTTGCTGTAGCCGCGACACAGCGCGTCAATGTTTTAAATCATGACTTATGCCGACATCTATGTCTTTCAGTTCAATGGCTGAGAGTAGTGATTGGTCATTAACGGAGTACTGGAAACATTTACTGTGACCAATGCGAATTATTGCACTTCTACTAGAGTTGATTTCCTGGCACCAACGTTTGGACCAACCAATCAGTTCATCCAAATCAGCTTGATGAGTGTCGTTGCTACCCCGGTATTGGTCCAGTTAAGAGCTACGAACAAGGTGACTGGACTTATACTTGGACCTGGATCTCTATATCGATTTGAAGCTGCCACTGATACGGTGTGAGGGGCAGTGAGGGATATGATGACGGCGCATCAAGTAGCTCATAGTCTCATTCATCGTAACAAATTGCCCTAAAGCTTTGGTCAGAGACTACACCCCAGAGACTACCTCTAAAGCGCAGAGCATGACCGGTCATGCGTGAAGATCCATGCTAATTCGTTTACAGTTGGGAAGTTCAGGCTGTAGGATCATCTTCCGGAAGAAACTGACCGCTTTCCTTCTTGATTTTTTAAAAGGAGGTCAGACGCACACTTACAGTTTTGCGGTAAAGATGCACCCTATAGTTCTACAGACCTTCGGTGGCAGTATTACCACTAGAGGAGACATGACTACTTCGCGACTGACTACCGCTGCTGTTTTGGGCTTGTCGGAAGAGAGGTAGAAGGTGTGACCACTTCAAACAATGTAACCCGTTAACACAAATATTCGCGGTTACAGTCCGTAAACAGTGGAACTCCCTCCCTTCAGGAATTGTTACAGCCCCACCCCGTGATACTTATAAAAGTAGGTTAGATGCACACCTCAAGTCCTGCGGTACCAATGGGCTGTACTCGAGAAGCTTTCTGCAGATCTGATGCAGTAATACTACCTTGAGGCCATATTAATTAATAATCGTATCTCTATCCTTTCAGGGTTTTCGGAACCGGGAAGATAACTGTGACCATTCCAAACTCAGCGTATTCCAATGAGACAGACGTAGAACGCTAGGAACCGCCGTTCACTAATTCTACAACACGAAGTTTGAAGTTTTAACCCTAAGAACAATCATTTGCTTTTTCCAAAGCGTGAAGTTTAAAGACTTTGAATAGTTCTGCATCATTAAATAATGGGCGAGAAAACCAATCATTATACAGTGAGTGGCATGAAAATGCAACAAATTGGGTATTGAATAGCTTTAGGTGTTTGAGCCATGAAATTTTGTTTACCTTCAGGGTTACGTGCATTTATAAATCTTCTACAGGAAATGGCTAAGGACTATAAGTTGACACAGATGTATATGCCTTTTTATGCAGCATGTATATCTACTACTTTGGGATTTTTGTTCTTTTTTCTATCGTTTTCTAGTCCATACTGGTTGCAGTCATATGATCGCGTACACAGTTCTTTCCTGCATATGGGGATATGGTCGGTGTGTTTTGATAAATTTGTGCATCCACAAGTACTTTTCATATTAGTGAGTTCAGTTTATCGAGATTTAGGACTATCATGCCAACGTACTGACAGGCTGTTTCTGGGTCTATGATCGTTTCTTCTTCAAAATTGGTATTTGGCAGTGGCTAAATCCTTATTGGTTAATCGGGGTTCAGGTTCTGATGACGATAGCTTTCACCACAAAATGTTGTGTTATACTGATTCTTGTATTATATCATCTTTTGTTTGGTCACCCGGCAGCTGAATCAACAATGGCGCTTGTGGGTGAAGTGAGTAAATTTGCTTAGTCTTAAAATATCTCACTAACTGCCGTGATTTTATTGCTTTCAGATTCGAAACTCAGAATTTCTGTGCGGTACACTAAGTGATCGATCAACAACTTCTACAAATGAACTCTTTCCGAGGCCCCAAAAGAACTAAATCCCAGTCAATATTTGCTTCTGGTGCACATTGTAAGTTTTGGGCAAAAACTCGAAAAAATTACTTCAGGCACAGGTGGAAAAACGCAAGATACTCCCCCCTGAAGTTTCAAAACATTTTCCCCGAAACTGTCAAAAGTTGCAAAGTAAGCCCAAATTGTATACAATTCGCCCGAAGTTCACAAAGTGTAGACAGTGTGCCCTAAGTTTTGGAATAACCTATACTCCCAGTTCTGAGAAGCCATACTTGGTAATATTATCATGTATATCGTTCACATTTCGCTGCCGCAGGTGTCTGTGTATTAGAATCCAATGAAATGGAGACGGCCGACTCAAATAATTGAAAGATTTAGGAGACACTCGGAATTTGATAAGTGCCTCCGAAGTTGCTTCAGGCTATAACCCTAAAGTTTCAAGGTGCACCCGAAGTAAATCCTGGCTGGGATGGGTACATAGGTTTTGCAAATTTAGTTGTAAACCTCACCCAGAGGTCTGAAATTTCATTACACCACCACAACTAAAGGAGCTGAGAACCTCCTTAAAAATTTTAATGAGAAGAGCAGCAAATGTTATTGTAAGGGTGCTGCAAAAGCCATATGAGATGAAGGTCTTTATCCTCGCTTACCGCAGGTTACATCGTGACTTGATAATAATCTGGAAGATACCAAGTCACCCAAGTCATCCGAACAGTAGAATTCCAACAAATTTTCTCTTCGGTAAACCTCGCGGAAACTTAATGACAATCCCCCATTAAAAGGCAACAGCTCATGTGCGTTCATAAATTCTATCCTTCCGAGTTCGTAGCCATTGAAAATGCCATTTCTGGTCGGGATTGTCACCTTTCCATCTATCGGCAGACTCGAGAAAGGTTTGGACAGCTACACAGCGATACATGGCTTGCACTGAGTCATTTGGCTTGAGGACTGTGATCAAGACAACCAACCGATTTCATATCACTTCAACGCATTTAACTTTATTGCAGTTCTCTTGTATTGTCACTGTTATCATGAAACAGCCTAATCTTATGCCTCCCTGTAGGGCGCCTCTCCCCTCCAATTGCCATACAACTATAAATACCACTATGTCTGCTTTCATTTTTCCTACTATCATCCTCTCCGCTTGTTCCCTCATCTCCGACTCTACGGTTTCACCCTACTTATTAAACTTCTTCATATCACCCTTCTCTTTCTTATATTCCCCGAATTTACATAGGCCTTTCCTTTCCTTTGCTTGCCTTTCATTTTACTTTCCTTATCCTTGTATTTCCGACTTTCTCTTGTCCTTTTCAGTTACCTTATCATTCTCAATTTACAGAGTAGCACTTAACGATAGCATTCAAAAACGTTTTGGCTTCGACTGAATTTCGGTCTATCATCATCTCCATATCCTTGTCGCACATTACGGTTGGAATTTTACTGCTACTATTACCTTTACAAATATAGGAAAGCGAATTTTTCAAGCGATTTTTGCATTCACACACTAGCTATTTCTCATGGAAGATATTATAGTAGTAGTTTAATTAAAATTTATGATCTCAAGGCAGTTGGTTTTTTATGTTAGACGTGTTATCTCTACTGGAAACTCTCAGAGCCATTTCCTACATCTTAGAGGTTTGTCAGTTTGTTTATCTATTTGAAGATGATATTTTAATAGTCTTTGATATGTCGCATAGTAAAGAAAGAACACCTAACGCTTTATTTGTGTAGTGATGATGACTGGTGTTGAAGCAAAAATGTGGGTCCCTAGAGGATTCTGAGAAAGTCTCAGCTTTAACTGCATCACATCCCTACACTGACAGTGGTATGAAACAATAAATGATCTTTTGTAGCCTCATCAAAACTCATATTTCTTATCGGTCATTCTCAAAATTTTATCCATTCATGTTTGTTTTATATGGCAGTTATTCCATAATGCATCCCGGTGACTAATTAAAAAGTGGTCACCTCTTTTCTGTGCAGGCAGATTCACATTCATTGGCAAGCCCTTAGGGAAATTGAGATTCCAGCTTCATCCAGTGAATATCAACCATAATCGTAACAGCTTGAGACATTAAATGGAGGTTCAAGCTACCACTAATCCAAGTGGTTAAGCATCTTTGTCATCAGAAGGTTAATAATGTTCACAGTGATTGCAAAGTATTGGCTGAAAAAACCTACTAAGCCAACTTCTGGAAAACAGGTTGACTGAGTCATCCTATACAATCACTTGCCGTCAGCATCTTCTGATTGAGTTTCCAAGTACAAGAAGGGTAATAGACTATCCATAGGAAGATAATTCCTAGCTACAAAGTTCTGTGTCTTTTAGAAATATTGTAAGTCTCTGCTAAGGAGTAAAGAAAACATTGACTGAAAAGATTACTTAGATATTCTCATGGATATCCATTTTGCCATTACTCATAATCCATTAAATACACTTCTTCTTTGATGTGGCACACTTAAAATTTATCCAACATTTTGAGAATAACAGAATTGACTGAGTAGTGAATTTTATGTAGAACAGAGCTGGTATGGCTAGTGGTATCATTATAGTTAACAGACGCCTCATGAGCTTATCAATCAAGTGTTACCTGACTCAGGCGTCTAATTGTAGCATGTTCAGACAGGTAGACAACTGACCGTAAACTAATGTGTAGATCCTTCTCCACTACAATTAAGGATTGGGCTTATAACTGCGGGGAACTTAGGAAAATTTAAAGCCATACTTACCTTCTGATTTAAGTTTCATAAATGCCGATACATTTATGACAACAAAATTTATAATTTGGTTAAAAAGTTGTGTTTTTTGGGCATGCCTTGTTAGAATATAATCACAACAAATTCATTTCTCTAAGCAATGAGCCTTGTCTGCTGTGTGAAGACTGATGATGGTATGAAACTCGAAAGATGGACTGAGGTTTGAACCCATGGCTTACTGCCGGTGAACCATAGCTTATTTGACATATTGGATTCGTCTTTGTAAACTCAGCATAAAGGTGACACCACTCTTAGGAATATGATTTCTACTGTTAATGAGGCATCTGTTAGCAAGCTTTATTGCTAATTTTCAGTTCATACAAATTTAAGTTCCATGTATGTTCTCTTTCTCCGATTCCATGACCACTCCTTATTTGTTCAATTTGTGACTAGTAGAGGAAGGAGGTCAAACATAGTTTATCGGACTGGGTTGCAGACAAAATCTCTAACAGTGTCTTAAATGCAGAAAAAGAAGAAAAGAAAATGTGGAAAATCATATGCCATTTTGTTGGCAAACTCCATGTGGATCAGAGTATTCTGTATGCACAATGGGAAAGATAATATTTACCCGACCGCTAGCTGCTACCTTGGCGTAGTGGTCGGGCTTGCATATCACAGTGACCCAACGAGCCATGCTAGTGGAACACTTTTTCCCTTAAGGTCCTATCATACCAGAAAGGTCTGTTGGATAGTGGTTAGACGAAAAGCAGTTACTGCTGTGGTGTAAATTACTACACTATGATGGTGGTCTGAGGGTGAAGTCATACTGCTGTTAGCTGGATGGGGTGTGACAACAGTAAGGTGTTTCTCTTGGATGACCAGCAGTGCCATGCTGATGCTGCCTTCTCAATGAAAGTGGGGGGGGGGTTAGAAAAGGTCGGCCCCAAAAATAACACACTCCACCATGCCCCACGGTCTGCTGGGCCGGCGGTGTTGGTTTATTTGTCTTTTCTTTTCGACCATCCGGCCCTAAAAGTACAAAAGTTCAAAATAATCATACTCAAAAGGCTGGATGTGACGGGCTTCAAGCAGATGTCCGATGGGCTCTGCGGTCACACAAATCTCTTTCAGGTACCTTAAGAAGAAATAGTTTTCCACGGTGTGGGCAGCCGGGAAGTGTCAGTTGCCCTCACAACTCTGTCAGCACTCAAGCTTCTTCTGACTGCTATCCACCTCTCCCATCATTACCTTCTAATCTTCCTTCACGTCTCTTAATTAATGATGCTGCATCATCTTCAATTTCTCCTACCTCTGCAGCCTTCGACAACGATCTGAGTCCACAGAACAGCATCACTGGTCTCCTTAAACCACGCTCCAAATTACATATTGGAGCCTTCAATGTCCGCACCCTCCGTCAAATTGGCCAACAGGCTTCGTTGGCAAAGACTCTAGCAACTCGGGCATGTGTGCTGTGTTTGTGAGACACGCATACAGGACCCAAGTGTGGTTATTCACCTGACCTCTCCTGACCAATCTGGTGAATCTGCAAAATTCACCCTTCGAGTTTCTGGAGATTCGATAGCTAGCTCTCGTGGTCTTGCAGGTGTAGGTATAGCATTAAGCACCAGGGCAGAAAACTCACTACTAGACTGGATCCCAGTTGATAGTCGCCTCTGCGCTATGAGGCTGAACGGCACAGTGAGAACTAAAAGGAATAGTGAGACTCGCCGTTGTCTCTTTGTAATCTCTGCTTACGCACCCACTGACTGTAGTTCGGATGAAGTGAAGGACGAGTTCTACCATAAACTGTCTAACCTCCTCTCGAAAGCCAAACGTTCGGACGTAGTGGTTGTTGCAGGTGACCTCAACGCACAGGTGGGTAGACTGAGTGAGGCAGAAAGGCACTTAGGTGGCACTTTCGGAATCCCAGCTGAACGTACAGATAACGGTGATCGCCTATTACAACTATGCTCAGATAACCGCCTATTTTTAGCCAGCACAAATTTCAGACATAAAGAAAGGCACTGTCTGACCTGGCGTCCACCGAGCTCGACTCAGCGATGGACACAGATAGACCACATTGCTATTAGTCATCGCTGGAGAGGATCGGTGGAAGACTGCCGCTCCTTCTGGAGTACGTGTTTGGACAGCGATCATGCGTTGGTCCGAGCACGTATATGCCTGCGTCTCAATGGACGTAGAAAAAATTTGGCAACAAAACCACTACGAGTTCTGCTGGACAACGAAAACACCAAAGCCGTGTTCAGTGAGAAGTTGGCTAGGCAGTTATCGGAACAAAAGACTGTCACTCATCCAGAAGAAGCTTGGTGCCATCTTCAGTCTACTGTAAAAGCAGCACTGGAGACTGTAGCCGACTCCAAGATAATGGCTAAAAAGAGCCAGTGGATATCAGCAGCTTCTTCCAAACTAATGGATGCACGTGAATGCATCCCTGCAGGCTCTGAGTACAATGAAGAGCGAGCGCAACTTAAAAATAACTGACGAAAAGTCTGCGCAACGATCGTGAACAGTGGTGGGCAGCAAAGGCTAAAGAGATGGAAAAGGCAGCGGCGATCGGTAACAGTAGACAGTTATTTAGACTTATTAAGGAGACTGGGGGGAAATGGTCAACAACAGTTAGTGAGGTTATAGCGGAGAAGGACGGATCTGCGATTCACTCGCAGGGAAGGCGACTGGGACGATGGGCAGAACACTTTGAGGAACAGTTTAACTGGCCTCCAGCCACCATTGCGCTGCCCGCTATCCAGTCGGACCCTGAATGGGACATAGAGACAGGTCCCCCAACACTAGAAGAAGTTGAGAAAGCGGTAGGTAGCCTGAAACGGGAAGGGCAGCAGGACCAGACGGACTACCTGCTGAGGTATACAAGAATGGTGGTAGAGTTCTCTTAGTCAGGCTAACGGAAGTGTTAGCCAGTATATGGGAATCAAATACGATCCCCTCCGACTGGTCTAAGTCACTCATCATCCCAGTCTTCAAGAAAGGCGAGAAGTCCTCTTGTGATAACCACAGAGGAATCAGCCTGACAAACATAGTGTCTAAGATCCTAAGTTCTATAATTCTCCGACGCCTGAGTGGAGCTCGGGAACAGCAAGCCCGAGAAAACCAGGCAGGCTTTAGACCTGGCCGTGGATGTATCGACCAAATATTCACACTGCGCCAGGTCCTGGAACATAGGCATGCTTACAGACGCCCGACAATAGCTGTATTTCTCGACCTGAAGGCGGCATTTGACTCCGTTGATCGAGAAGTCTTATGGCAGTGTCTGTCACTGAAAGGCGTGCCTAGTAAGTACATCACCTTATTGAAAGCTCTCTACTCGAACACTTGTGGGCATGTTAGAGCCTATGGTGAGTTGTCCAGGGAGCTATACTCATCAAGTGGTGTCCGTCAAGGATGCCCACTATCCCCATTCTTATTTAATTTTATCATAGATATTCTTATGGAGGTTTCCCTCTCGTCACCTAATTACAAAGACGTTGACCCAATCACAGGTGAATTTTCCTTAGATCTAGAATATGCAGATGACATAGTCCTGTTAGGTGAAGACGCTGACAAGATGCAGAGTCTTCTGAACACTTTGAGTGGGAATTTGAGAATGTTTGGGATGCGATTTTCACCACCCAAATGCAAATTTTTGCTCCAGGACTGGTCTTCAGCGGTACCGCGGTTAACAATAGAGAGTGAAGTGGTTGAGTGTGTTGACCACTTCACTTACCTGGGAAGTAGGATCAACCCTGGTGGGTTAGTTGCCGATGAGATTTCTGCACGGATACAAAAGGCTCGATTGGCTTTTGCCAATTTGCGCCACCTATGGCGCCGCCGTGATATTCGTTTGTCTATTAAGGGTCGCGTGTACTGCACAGCAGTCCGCTCTGTTCTACTGTATGGCTGTGAAACATGGCCATTGAAAGTGGAAGACACAAAAAGGCTTCAGGTGTTTGACCACCGTTGCCTTCGTAGTATAGGACGTATTCCGTGGTGTCACCATGTGAGTAATGCAGAAGTTAGGTGTAGAGTTTTAGGGAGAAGAGGTAAGTCAGTCGACGAGGTTGTGAACCTTCATCGACTGAGATGGTTGGGACACGTACTACGTATGCCTAGTCACCGATTGCCTCGTCACACAATGTTGGCTGAGGTGGGTCCAGGCTGGAAAAAGGCCCGAGGTGGCCAGACTAAAACATGGCACCAATGTATGAAGTCTCTGACTGTTGGTTTAAGCCATGTAGGACGATGCAGACTAGGTGGTTGGGGTCGGCGGGACAAGAGGAACCAGTGGTTGGAGACCCTAGGTGATATGGCTCAGAACCGAAGTCAGTGGCGCAGATGTATACACACATTATCCTCATCTTAACAACGCTATACCGAATCTCACTATTTTGTCACTCCTCTTTCCTTTCTTCTCCTACTTTATATTTCTTTTGACTGCATCCTCTTATCTTCATCTTGCGCCTCACTGCCTTTTTACTTGATGCACTGATATGAGATGTAGCAACTCGAACTGTTACGCAGTAATGCCTGGTCCTAGGTTGATCTGTATGGATGAATATTCCCCTGTCGTATGGTAGTTGTTAACCAGTGTGCATGAATACATACTGCAAAACAACCTGAATCCAGTAATGTGCACAGTCTGTTGCCTTAGGTTACCATGCCTATATATAATCCCAAAATAGGTTTCATGTCCAACATCTTTGGGACTTTAACAAGATTTTGATTTGGTATGTTATCTCTTATTTTGAAGTATCATTTCAGAAACATACCGCAATTTTTTAGTGTCCCATACTGTGGTTTTCTAATGTTCGTTGCATGTTAGAGATATTTTTTCCTCAGTGTTGAGTCTTATGGGTTGCAAAACCTTGATAATGTATATTTAGTTGTGTTTTGTCCGTTCAAGTGAAACTATTTGGACGATTTGATTCGTACTTCTGCTAAAACCAGATAACTTTTTGGATGCTTCTGTTAAGTTGTTTCTTTCCGAGTAGGTTTATAAGATATTCCGTTACTTAAAGCTGGAATGTATTGCACACATCCAACTGTAATCTGTTTCTACGTACTGTGTTTGCTGACTTTCAATTACGTTGAAAATATTTAAAGGTGGCAAGAGCAAGCTGTGGGATCAAACTACGTGACCAGTCAGTCAAGGTCGATACAAAACTTGTCATAAATGCTTATCGACCCGTGTTGCAGCGCCTCACATCATAACACCAATGTAGAAGAAGCTAAGGTAACAGATAAGGAAGAAGGGAAGAACGTAACCGGAGGCAGCCATACTGGATGAAAGGAGAAGTAGGATGGGTAAAACAACAATGAAATTCAGCTTGGCGATTAATATGGTCACAGTGTGTGTGGATACATTTACGCCACCGATATCGGTTATCAGCTGTTTCGCCTACAGCTGCCAACCAACTATTCGGTTTACATATAGATTCCGAAAGATAAGTCTGATTTTCCCTGAACGGCTCAGATCAACAGTCAAGAACTTGTTCAGTTTCACCACCTTAAATCCTTTTCTAAGTTGAACCTACTTCAGCCAACTTTGTGCAGTGGCAACTGGACATTGGCAACACGTGTTAAAGTCAGTCCAGCCAGTGAAGTTTCACAGTCCTATCAAATGATATTCCTCTTCTACCGAAAGCTGTGCACCTGACCTCTACGTCAGTGACGTGGTGACACGACGATACACGACCCATGCTACGAAGAAAACAGTGGTCAAACCTAAAGTGGTGTCATATGCTTTACCTTAAATGGCCGTACTTCACAGATGTATAATAGTACACTCGGTCCTTAATAGGCAATCAGGTATCATAACCGCTGCATAAATGACGTAAGTTGGTAAAGGCCAAGCGAGTTTTTGCATCCTTACGGAGCTTCCGCAGGTAGCTGACCTACCAGAATTAATTTGACTTCTCAAGTAAGTGAACTGCTAAACCACTTCACTCCCTGTTGCTAAACAAGGAACCAACGCAAAGCAGTCCTGGATCAAGAAGTCGCTCCTGGGTGGCGAGAAATTCATCTCGAACATTCTTAAACTGATGACCAGGTTGTACAGAACACTCTACATCTTGTCAGTGTTTTCATCTGTATTCTGTAGCTTTACTAAGTTAGATATTGTGACATATTAAATCCCTGTAAAGTCAGATGAGGAGAGGAAGACCTCGATAAGTGTGTTTATAAAAGAAAATCAAGCAAGAGTGGAGAGGATGGACATCCTTGACGGGTCCCATTCGACGTACACAACTCACTGAGCAGCACACTATAGGATCTAACTATGAGATCGCTGTCTTTGAATCAGAGCTATGTAGGTGAAGTAGTGCCTCCAGCTTAGACTCTATGGGAAGACCAAAACTGATCGGCTTCGAACTTGATAACCGTGACAAAGGTGTGTCCAAACCCTTTCCCAATTCTAATTGGTTGTTCATATTACATTATTCACTATGACTTTCATATTTAGTTAACACTGGTCATTATTTGGAACAATCGGCGTATTCGAAATAATCCATTTCATATTGTCCCACTGACGTAATGGTTGTTAGAACTTGACATCATGACGAGTTTCCTCACTCTGATGTTCTCATTTATGCAAGCTATCAAGGTAGAAGTTTTCTCGCTTCCAAAAACAGTTTTTACCGATAACTGATGTCAATCAGAGTGCCACTGAAAATCACTCAAAACCGAGCCACCATTTCATTCCAGAATAAAACTCATAGATAGATTCACCTTTAGACTAATTGTCAACTTCATACAATACTTGGATTTGTTAATTTTTTTGGGTTAACCTATCACCATTAGTATTTTCATGCTGAATTGTGAGAGTAATATGCTTGTATCGAAGAAGGATTTGAATTCCTTTTGCTGGTTGCAAAATTATTACATCATAAGCCCCCTTTTTCAAATATTGCTTCTCTTTTCCTCAATCTCTAGGTATTTATCGCACTTCTTCTAACGATAAGTATCTTATTATTTGGTATCAGTTCTCAGAGTAGAATATGGATGCCAAGACCTGATCAATACTTTCTTTCTTGGTCATTTGGTTTTATTATATTGGCAGCCATATGCTCATATATATCAGCAGGTTTTCTTTACTGTGTCAGTTATACAGACAGAGCTGCTCAAGTAAGTAAATATATTTCTCTATTTGATGATAGTCTATGTTGTTTTCTCTTTGAAATACAACAAGCTTATTTAGTGCATCATAAGCTGGAGTTATGGACGAATTATCGCATATGTTCAGTGTGACGTTTACTGGAGTTTTGTTTGAAGTAATTAAGATCAAGGTTGAACTGTGCCTAGTTGTCAGAGGTGACTAGGTAGTTTTTACAGCTTGAAAGATATCAAATGAAAAATCTGTAAATATTAATCAGTTGGAAGATACATTCAATTTATCGTGATTCTTTATCTAATTATGATATTACTCAAAGCTCTTATTCATATACTGAGTTTGAACGTTGTAAATTTGTTATAGAATATTTTTACGCTTCTTTCATTCAGTATCCTTAAGCTGAAGATTCCAACCCATCAAACAATATGATTATATAAGCAATACTTGTAGACTTAATGGTCTAGTACTCGATCAGGATGTCACTAAATATAACTGAAGTTGTCCAAAGTATGTCGCTTTCAGTAGTGGTGTTAGTCTGAAATGCCTGTTTGACGTGACGTGTGCTTCCTAGGACAGAACAACACCGTATATTAACACAGGATAACAAGAACTAACCACTTCAAATAGTTCACCCAATGAATTGAAGTGTGAAGCGAATGCTGATTCGGTGATAATCTAGTGATGTGAAGAAATGTAGCATAGTCTCAGAGAGATTATCTATTAAGATAGGTTCTTTCACAAAAACAACATAAGATACTTTACGGATTTCCATAAGAGATATCAGTATGCTGATGGGTTTTGTTTTGCTCAACTTAAGAATTGCACAGCCACATGCAAACAGCCAAGAGAAGTGGGGTTATGAGTGCACACTTCTGAGGAGTCCCATACTAGGACGAAACAGGTGTCCAGTGCTCCCATGTTTCCAATGGTCCTCCAGATGATGTCAGTCGATGATGAATATCTACTTGAAATCAATAAATAAATGTCCATAAACCTTCGAAATTAAACATTAAAAATTAATAAAAAAATCATTTTTTATCCAAAATGATTTATATCTCAGTTTTAGAAATAACTGAAAATAACAAGCCACAATGTCCTTATTAACTCGAATTAAGTGTGTTTAACAATTTTTTTACTCAATTCGTTGTATGTGACCGATCCGTGGATCGAATCCTGTATTGCCTGCTGAAGTTTGGGCAGTTAGTTAGCATCATCAACACCCCTCGTACTATAGCTGTTGCTACTTTATTGAGTAGAAGTACGTAGTTGTGTGTACACTTTTTGAGACAAAACGTGACTAGCGGTGGAATCAACGGTGAGCGTTTTGTCTCATTTGGCACTCGTCAGCTTGGTGTACCTGTACTCCAGTGAGTTATGGAGTTCTTATTGAGATTGGAACCCAGTACCCATACTAAGCAATCCGACCCAGTATATCAGTCGGAAATTACAAATATGAATAAATAATAACTGATACTCGTTGTACAAGAGATGACTGTCATGCCTCAGTGGCCTAGTTGATAGCGCTTGGGATGATGGGTACTGGGTTCAAGTCTCACTTGAAAAACCACCACTCACTGGGATGCAGCCGACGAGTTCCCAATAGGATGAAACACTTGTCCTAAATTAGCTTATGAGATTAATTCTATGACTTTAAAACAAGAAGTGAATAAACCGTGATGCGCGTACAAAAACTTCTGCTTGTTGCATTCGGAGTTATCTCCGTAGATTGATGATGAATAATATAGTGAATATCAGTAGTTGAACATAAGGATATTCTTGAATTAAAAGCTCTTGATGAAGCCTTTAGCTTAGGCTTATGCATATTAGGTTTAACTGTCCGGGAAGTAGATCTGGCATTCAGGTTCTCCTTCTTCATACACTGAAATGTGTTTAAATGGTTTAGGTACTGAAATTTCAACTGGAAAATTGTGCTCTCATATTTATTCCGCCTATATTGTTCATTACACAACCTTGGAAAAATTGAAATGGATTAGCAATTCGCGAATTATCTGCGCATTGCACCATCCATATTAACTTTTCTCATAGCCAACAAGTCATGGTAATTACCCAACTGGTTAGAAACGTTTTGGTCAAGGTCACATCGTATTCTTTGATGTAAAAGTATTTTGGACTAAATTAATATACTACTGGGTAATATATTGAGTAGTTAAAGCCACTCATAATGAACTGCAGATTTATTGCTCACTGCATGAACGTGGGGATTTAGATTCGAAACCTTGGTAATCAGTTCATTTTTTCTCTTTCTCTGTTGCGTGTTTCATAACACTTTCATGATAAAGGAGTCAATGGTATTGGGAAAACATTATACAATCATGTTGTTAGTCAGTAAAAAAAATCTGATTTATGCGGTACGATAAACATAACTACAAGATATTCTTATCTATTTCTTCTCTTTGTCACAGCAAAAATATATATCTGAATCTGATACCTTCTTTTTTAGGAAGAAGTTGAAAAATATGAAGCTGTCGAAACAAACTACGGTATGCCAAGCATGTTGTCTGGTCGTATAGGAAGTGGTGGATTGTACAGTGGAGCTCTAAGCGCTATCGGTGGAGCAGGAGGTGTTGTTGTTAAAGTCCCGTCAACTGGAGCTCGTCCGGAACAGGTGGATTAATTATTTTTGTAAATTTTTTGCTTTAACAACTAAGGATGAAATGGAACTCACTAGTTTTCAGGTGCCACTGATGAAGATGAAAAGTTGGTTAACGAATATTAATATCTCTTGTGTGTAGTACCATTTAAGTTCCATCTTACTTCAAAAATGATACTAAGTACTCCAACTGGTTTACAAATTTGATGTTAGAAATGAACCTAGAGAAATAGTCTTTTAGACTCAGTGTAAGGGTAAAACTAGGTCAATATGGTGATGTATAAATCCGTGTAAACTTGTTTGCTGAATATTTCGCATTGTCAAACAGTATTATTTAATGTACAATATTTTGGATACTTGGGATAATGATTGAATCATTTCTATTGAATATTTTCCTTGCTGATTTGATAAACAAAGCGTCAGTTATGAAACTCACTTTCTACCTTGGAAAGTTAGTTTTCAGGACCGTCATTTTGATCCATTATTGGATCCCTCAGTCTCCCTGAACCATTCATTGATATTCTCATCCTACTGCAGACTATCATTCTAGATTCTGACCAAGCCTTTCAGGCCTATTAGGTTAACTGATCCCAAATTGACTATTTTAACTCATATGTTTGACGTTACAAACATCGTGTGGAGTTTGACAGGGTAAATTATTCAGGTTCCACTGCTAGCCCCTCGCCACAAGCAAAACACTTCATAGCGAAATATCAGTACTACCATTAAAGAGTCTCTATGCCGAGAGAGAATGATCATTTCGGTCTAGTGTAATAATCGGTGTGGAAACACAAGTATCAATGAGCAACACCTGTAGAAGACTATTGAGTCAAAAACTGTGATAATAAATGAAAGAAAATATGGAATGAGAAGACGTTGGGACACATGAGTGAATAGACAAGTTGAGTTAGTAAACTGACAGTATGAGAATAGTGTTCGTGACAAAGTCTCTACTGTTGGTCTAGTTGGCCTCTTCAGTTGTTTTTTCCACCAGCTATGTGGGCGCATTCTCCATTTGCATCCACTTACTAACCTCTGTTTGGGGTTGTTAAGTTGACGAGGCCGGAATTACACCAGCTGTTACTGCCTTCTAAACACAGTAGAGTGATTTCATCTGTATTATTCTGAGAATAACTATGGGGATCTTCAGTTGGAATCTGTGATCTAGAAAAACTAAGAATTTGTAAACAGTTACCGTATCACCCTCCTATCCAATGTCACTCAGTGGTTAAGGATCCCAGATTCCGTTCCATGATACCTTTTACAGCTTTGCTACCGAGAACGGACGTGCGATGTCATCGTAAATCCTTGGATGTTTTTAAGATTTTAAGAGAAGAAGTGACTGTAATTGCTTGACCACAAAAGAAGGTTTCCGAGGAATTCACTCAATATATAAGACAGATGGTGGTTAAAAAGACATGAAGACATCCTCTGTGGAGTAGAGTGCCAAGGAAATGTTCCAAAATCTCGTCTAGTTAAGTGTCAAATCATTCCGCTTTTTCCTGCATTCTAAAATCCATATATCTTATTGAAGTCTTCATAAGTTCTCTATGCATTTTACATCTTCTTGTCTCTCCATGGAAAGATGGATTGAGCAACTACTATTGAAAAGGCAATCCATTAACTCAGAGCAAAAATATGAGAGTTTGGTCCCTGGTTGCCGACTATACTCTAGATGGTGTTTCTCCTTCACCTTGATGATAGCCTATCCATCTTTCTACGCAGTTTTATACCTTCCAGATATACTCTGAGCCCTGAAATCGATAGGTATATGATGTGCATCTGGAAATTTTGCGGAAGAAGGATGCGATTTGAAGCAGTCTGGAACATTTCCACGAACTCTCCACTGATGGCAGAATAAAAATGGATAACCTACCCCTCTTTAAGCTGTCTTACACCTCTTAAAGACTGCTACTTCTGACGGCGTACTTTCTGATTTGCTTTTATTACTATCGCATTCTCCTTCAGCTTTGTTGACATAAACGCAGTGATGCGAGTCTATGATGTCAATATCGATTTTGGTCTTCTGTACACTTTAGTTTCTTCAAGGAGGCTGCCGGGAGATTGTCCGAATATTCAGACAAGTAGAAAGCTACGTATCATTAAGATTGTGTTCATATTGTTACTAGACAGATGCATTATGCACGTGGTCACCTCCTTGGGAGCCTGCCGAAACTGAGTTTCCACAGATTCTTCAATATTATGCATTAAGAGATGTGTGAATTATGTCACTATCTTTGTTGATGGATGAAGCAAAAGTTCGATCGATTTGTTGACAATATATCCGGCTGGCTGGTGTTTCATTGAATTGTCTTTCAAAGCAACACTCAACATTTAGCCTACAACTAGGTTATTTGCATACTCCTCTTAAGGGTTTTTAATAACACAATCTGTGGTTGTTAAGTTTTCTGGTAGTATGAATCGATGTTGATTCATGAAACTGACTGTGAAGTTTTAAGACAAGGTGGTTTCATCAACGTCTTAACAACACATCTATGTTTATCCACTGATCTGATTTGGTTGCAGAAAGCCTTAATTTTAAAAAATCCTTTGACGTGAACTGAACACAGAGTTTCAGTATAGTCAAGAAGTTGGCTGATTAGGTCTTCTTACTACTAAGCTTTAAGTAGTCTACTACTTTCTTCGAATTCCATGTAGAACTCACATTATTACTACTACTACTGTTTGTATAATCTATTCTTTCGTTTACATTTTATCAGGTAATCGCATTAAATTCTGACCTAAGACGTATGGAGGCAGGGCATGAAAGCATGAGTTTATTCTCGCCTAGTGTTGCTTTCGCATCGAATAATCGTTATGAAGGTGAAGAAAGTTCAAGATTACCTGAAAATCAATTGAGTGATAATGAATCGCATACATTTTCTCCTGTTGAGGAAGTGAACGTAGCCAAGAGACACCGTTGTACGTGAATCGCCCTGCTACACGACATAACAGTCGAGGGATACCACGATCAAATAATTCTTCCTCCTCACCTGATGGTAAATCGTATTCACCCTTAGAACAAGAACAAGATGAAAGTCAAAGTATGCTATCAGATAACGCTGATAGTCAGCATACAACTGTATACCGTGATTATACACCGCCTAGGCATTCATTACCAATGTCACAGAGAAGTTATAACCCAACAACTCGTTACCCTCGTTATTAATATTTTTTGTTGTTGAAGTTTCTTCCACAAAATTCTACATATCATTTTACGGAAATTGACCATATTGTATAGTGTTTTAATTACTTATTCTACAATTTTAAAAATACATGTGACCTTGAGTATAAATTACTTTCTATTGTATATTGAATCCTTTATAGGCTTTATGATTAACTCATCAACTGACTTTTACGTCCTTGCGTCTAACAGAGAGTTTGTTTTATAGAAGACGAAGTTAATTTCACTCAGTGGAATCAGGAGAAAACATGTAGGAGAATAATGTCGATTTGTGATTCCATTCTCCCTTCCGCTTTGTCCTCATGGGTTATTAAATTAACCTTGACGAATTGACAGTTGATGGAAACCACGATGTAGATTATTACCCCAGAAAATGTCTGTCAAATTTTCGCTACTTCACGTCATAGAAAAACGGTGCATAGATATCTTTGGAGTTCAAATGAAAGAAAATGTTTTCCAATTCTTGTTTGTATATTTATTCGAATAGAGTTGAAAGGAGAGGTTTTGAATGAATTCTACAGATTCGTATTTTCGCTTTAATATTACCGTAATGGACTAAGTGCTACAGGACTGAGGTGAGAGGGGATTTTGTTCGCTTTTGTGATAGCCTAGTGAACTAGAATGGAAATGACAATACAGAACGCACTAAATAACTTTAAATAACTACCGGTTCAAAATTGTTCCCTTAGTTGCAGGAATATCTGTAACTGGGATGATCTTCATTATCGAAGTAATCAAATCGTACATTTAATTATCATGACCATAGAATGGCGTAAATTAAACTGTGGTGATTGACATCTTTAAAGGCATCAAAGTGTGAATTAAAGTGTTGATTCCCAGTCTTGCCTCTTATTGCTCACTCTTTACCTGTATTCATCTGAACTCGGTACATGTCTTCATGTACTAGGCTACGATAAGTAGGTTGACAATAATTTGTTACTCAGGCCAAAGTAAATGAAGCGAGACTTCAGCTGGGGACTCATTGATCGAAAGTCAAGCTAATACATTTAGCGTAGTGCATCAAACACTTCCTTCTACAAAACCTACTTAAATTATTGAAAACATAAAATTGAAAAAACTGAACGATGAGTCTTTCTTTTAAGAAACCTTAATTGATCGTGTAGAAAATCACGACAAAAGAGTCTTGGAATAAATAATTAACTGTGTGCCCGACGCTGACATGAACATAATGACAGACCGGTCATTTTCAATAACTGTATGCATTGAATGTTGTCTAAATGTTCAGTTTGTTCTAACTACCCTTAGGTGATCAGTAGATAATAATGCGATAAAATTAAAATTTCACCAACGTTCATTTTTCAAGTTCCTGGTTTAAAATCATAGTTTTATATTAAAAAGATTGAAGAGTGCATCAAAAAGCATGGATAAACTAATGATTTTCCGGCGTAGTATGGAAAACAACAAAGTGAAAATTATGTGAGAGTGGAACTTGGGAATCTTATAAATTATCGTTCCAATTTCAATTACTTTACTGGATTTAATAAAAATGCTGTTTCCCTGTGACATTAAGTAAGCGGTAGAACTAAACTTTAGTGATATCCAATCAAGTTCAAATATACACTGACCAACCAGAATCGAGTGTATGAAGGAAATAGTTGTCAAGTAAAATGGTACTTGATATACGTTTTATAATTCTGTTTTACATGAGAAATAAAAATATCTTGGTTTCCAATAGCTTTATCACCTTTGAAACTATACTACAGTCTTTACTACTGCTCATCCATATGAGACCAGATCGTATCCGTATGGGGGATTGCTAGGCCTTGTGATCCTGCTAAAGATTTTAGAACTTTCGGAAACGATACCACATACTTCCAACGTTGTTTTTGTATACTGCAGTTGTCAGATCAAAGAAGTACATCTTGTGGACCATAACTTGGTGGGGGTTAACCGATTCTAACCGTTTTCCTACGAATAGTAGGACTGATTCTTCTGATGGATACTTTATCCATTGAAAATGTCATTTCCTCATATGTTGGTCTTGTATGCGTAATATTTGTCATAATTCAGAAACAGTTTATGCAACGTCAAGAACCTGGTAACCCTAACCTGGACGTAAGTGAATGACCTTGATATGCATAATTTGCAACCTGATTGGTCGTCCTTAAGGTTTCCCGTTACTAAAGTTTAACTCTATCAAATAAACTATTTTAATATTGTGTGCTTTGGTTAGTGATACCTAGCAGTCAAATCCACGACGCAGGGTTTGTCCTGCTTGAGGCACCAAAAAATAATCAGTGGTGCATAAGAGGCAACTTTTGCGGCTAAGCAACTTAGTGGATAACGCTTTGGTTTGAGAAGTAATAGGTGATAGGTTTGAGTGTCAGTAGGAACATAGCTCACTAGGATGAAGGCACATTCAGTTGACCATTCCCAAGTATGTTGAAACACACAACCTTGATTCCACTGCTGGCCACCACCAAGGAAATGACCTGAAAACAAAACTTGAAGCAATATCAAGATATCGGTTCATCAATGGGAACTAATCACTCCGGTTCACCAGATAATGATTGGAAAATCTACTTATCTGATGTAGCACACAGTGACTTGTTGACAATCTGAGCATAAATTGTTCCTCAGCATCATATCGAGGTAATCATACAACTTTCAGTATCCCATAATTGTAGTCCTACTACTTCATATTCTCTGTTTTTGGCAGTAGTAAAATACTGCACAGCTCCGAGATAGATGTGTGCGTTAGGTGCTGATTCAGTGAAAAACGATTCGATTATATATCTCTCCCTCCACCTGAGTATATTGGAATCGGGTGCAGCTGCACCACCCAGCCCGTTGTATTCTTATATGTTAGCACATGTACTGTAGTAGTCGAACTTTGTTATATATCCCTAACTTTGCCTAACGTTTACCTAATATTTGCCTATAACCTTGAAATAGCTTATTATTGCTGTTTTCACTTCCTCTAGTTGCAGTTGCTCACTTCTGTTTTTCCCACAGCTTCTGAAGGCAGGACTCTCATTGGTTGTTACCACTTCTAACTGATCAGTGAATTTAGTGTTTGCCAAGGTCGTTTAGAATGTATATATATTCAGCATCGTTCCCAACTATTTTGATCGTTGTTGAGACAGTTAAAGGTCTCTGTCAATGACCCGTCTTCTCTTCTTGTTTTCTCATGACGGTGTATTGTTGTGATAGTGGTTGACGTTCCGATTAGAAATTAGAGTATATTCTTTTGAGCGTTAGGTTCGTATAGATTATAAACTGCTAAGTCACATTACCGATCATAGGAAGTTTTTTCTCTAAATTCTTGATTTTAGTGTAGTCTTTCATTCTACATTTAATTAGATTCATATATTTTGCTAACGAGTTAAATAATGAACGATGGGAGTAAGCTGTGCTTGATGGCAAAATGAAACGAAATGCAGAATACCAACACACTAACAGATATCAAAACTTCAGGTTATCTTATCCATTATCAGCTAAGGTGGGCTTATTTAAACGTTTATACAATAGAGTAGGAAAACTCACGGATCTAAATCAAGAGTTAAAACATGATAGAAGCACTACTGACCATGAATTATCTTTTAAAGTTTATAAAGAAATTTGTAGGAATACATGAGAAACAAAGTAGTACTAGTAGTATAACCATGGGTAATAACAAGAGAACAAGAAGAAGAGATTTCAAGGACTCGATTTTGTTACCTCATAAAGAAGGAACATCCGAAAGTTTATGCAGAATTTTCAGCAAGTCTAGAATTAGGGTAACATATTCTAATCTACAAGCTGACTAAGAGATAAACATTGTCGGTTTCAGGATCCTAACTGTCACAATCGGGCTAAATAACTTGGAATATCCGATACTATGCAATGAATGTGAGGTCAAACTAGCCGACCGGAGTCAGTCAGATTATCAGAATATAAGAATTTAGCCGGATGTAGAGCGATAGACGTCACCACCATGAGTTGGCTAGAAAAACTTGGATATTACAATACGTATGCTGACACACAAGCACACAGTATGATGGGATGATGTCACTGCACTCAAGTTCAGTATATTCAGATAGGAAGAGGGATTGATAACTGAATCTTTCTTCATCGAACCAAAACCCAACACATGTAATATGAATGATGCAACACCTATACTGAAGATGTAGAAGATTTCACCACCACTAAAATCAGAGAATGTGAGGCAATAAGACTATCAAAACTAAATATAGAGAGATGCGTGAGTTCTTTGACATGATTATGAGGAATAAAAGTTAATACTCGAAATGTATTGGATGCTGTGTCTGTATGTGCTACATCAAATAAAGGAATGTGATTTTGGGTGATATTTTATCATGGCGATCAAGTTTTACACGTATATTAACGGAAATCGTAAGCATTTGTAAACATTTTATTTTGAGATCATATTTAAGAGAAGGAAATACTCAGATTTCGAAGAGAAAGTTTTTATTCATTTAGTACTCGAGTGACATTATATCGTGGAGTTTGTAGGCAAATCTGAATCAGTGGTTGCGTCGTGCCTAAAATTTTGGGGTCAAAATCTCAATATTTATCTGGAGAATTGCACTCTTCTGTGAAGGCACATCAAGAGTTTGTAGAAGTGTCAATGAAGTGTGTTCGAGAAGACAGCGAGTAGCTGCTTCTCAAGTCGTCGATCAAAAGAGGTTTCAAATTTGTAAGGTAATTAATTTCATTTTAGTTTGTCTAGTAAATGCATCACATAGTGATGGGTTAGTATTATTTACTGGGTAAGGTTTCGGACACAATTTGTCATCCACATTCAAATCAGGTAGCTCCAAAAATTTAAGACCCAGTTTGCGTAGTCACTATCGTTTAGTTTTTTTTTGTGATAAGGGTTGTAGCACTTTACCAATATCCGGAACAGGTGCAGAATCATTCCTGTTGAATGATATCGGTGTTGTATTTTGTATTTATGGATATTTGGGAACTCAGACCCTTGGACCATTTAGTTCGACAGCAAAGAAATGTTTTGAGTATGTAGATGACATATTTAGAGTACTGAAATCAGTGTACATAAATACATTCTTCACACAGATAAATCCAATAGTGGACGTAAATTTAAAGGGGTTGATTCATACTTATTCCAATGTTATACTCAATAAATTCAAAAATGGAAGTGCTTTCTCACGGAACTAAATCTTGGGACACTGGAAAACACAAC